GGGTAACTCTCACTGGAGGCTCTCGTATATGTATATAGATATATAGATATATAAGCATACGTCGAGACAAGTTTTTTCGAATGTTATCAATGCTTCATTTATCATTTAATAGTAAGTTGTTTGCGCTCAAGAAGTACTGATCTCATGTCGAGACATGTGAGTGTACAATTGCTTCAGATGAGGAGATACCAATGGAAGTATCACTGCAATAGAGATAAGTGCGACAATGGTGAGAAGCCATTCCAAAGCAACTAACCATGTTGGAAGACTTCCAAGAATTCGGTAAGCTATAGGAAAAAGTGCATGTGGTGCAGCAGAAGATGTCAAGAGTGTAAGAATAATCAGTACACGTTTTAAGATAATCATATCACGACGCATATTTGTTCGTCGGTTAATTGTTATAATTGTTGGGTTATGTTGTCGAACATAATATATAGTATATACATAGCTGCATGCTATAATAATAAATGGAAAAAGAAAACCAAGTACACAAACAGTTAATGATCCACGCATACTACTTGGTGCAACTTGACAATGATAATCATTATGCAAGTATTCCATATCACCGATAAGCAAACTTGGTAGCAATTCTAAAGCTGAAAAAATCCATTGACCAAATGAAACGATTATATAAGAACTAAAAGGTTGATATTTAGTTGGTATTGGATATATGATTCGGCATATTCTATAAATAGCCTGGAGCGAGAATGAATGAAAAAATGTATAACCACAAATGTACATAAAATAAGCTTTTATTCGACACCACCAATTATTAAATGAACTGTCTGGATGCAAATATCCATATATATAATAAATACACATATCCAGAAGAAAACAACTAATACAAAGTAAAATGATATAAATATTTGCAAGAAATAAATAATCCACACGTTTTCTTTTGATTACTGATTGGTGTAAAATCATGAACGTTAAAAGATAAATAGAAATACAGATCTGAATTGTCGAAAGTATCAAAGTAATTGAATATAAAATAATGTTCACATGTTTGATGGACATCGTTGATTGATGAAAATAACTTTCGAATGATCGAATATCAGATAACAAATCTATATAATTGATCGTTAAGATATTTTTGAAAAGACCCAAAATAGTTGTTTATATCTGAAATTGTGCAGATACATCATAAACAAACACTTTATCGACTACTTGAATCAATTTTCTTAAGATAAATTGAAGAAAATCAGTTATGTTAAAATAAAGATATATAACAGCTGCGTGAAAAACAAGTAACGCTCGTCGTTACGACTCGCTTGGCCCTCGACTGAATCCCATCCATTCATTATCTATCATTATCTTCTAGATTTCGTTGTGAAAACTATTGTTATACACACATACACATATGAAAAAAACCGTATACTATTGTGGGAGACGACCGCTTTCTAAAAAGATTCCGCTTTTCAATTTTCTCCTAGGGTTTTCCAAATTTAACCGTAAGAGGCAGCTCACAGTTAGTCGCGGTGTCAATATGAGCCACCACTCGCGATTGCTCGCTTTCGTGTATGACACCGGCATGGTTTTAAACAGTTCTTCACTTTCTTCTTAATCCTTTCATTCTGTGATTTTTTGACAAATTGTTAATGTTCCTAATCATTGCACACAGTAACATACATTTCATTCGCATATTTCTGCAAGACCTTCTTCCGTCTGAAACTACAAAGTCAGCCCTTTGTCTGTCATTATCGCTATTCTTGGTTCGTAACTCCTTATTCCAGTCAATTTATCGAGGATCAAAACTCATATTACCACACTGAGTTTTTCGCAGTTTTCAGACAGTTCCAACCGGTGAGATTCGATCAATGAGCAACTTTATATAAATTCCGCCGGCCCAAGGTGTCCTTCGGCGAACCTGCCAGATCAGCGGCTAGTCGTTCGTCGGTGCTCCTTTAGGGCGCCACTCATGGCTAGCCGATTCCATCTTTAAACCAACACTCCCAGTAAATCATCCTCTTATCTTCGCGTTTCAGTCGGGACACGTTTGGTTTACTGTGAAACATTCTTGTATTTATAACAAAAAAATTGTAGGTGAGAAGTTCCAAAAGCCATAGTTTCTTGTAATCTGCTCCTTACAGTTTTAATTGCCAGAGCTTTTGAAAATCGATGTTCTACAAGGCATAGCTACCTGTGAACAAAGGAGAAAGGAAACTTCTAGACCGCTACAAGTACCGACTTCTCCCAGTCTTGCAACAATTGATTGCAGCAGAGCCGTATAATAAAAAATCTGATTAACTCAGTTCCCAGCGGAAAAAACTGGTTGAACAAAGCGGAATCGCGAAAACATTTCACTCACACAAACCTCAGCTTGATAAAAATCTCATTGGACAAGAGCGAGAGAGTGAGAAGAATTCATTGCTGAAGCTCTTGAGCAAAATCTTATTGGACAAGACTCGGTCAGCGAAAATATGTGATTCACTGGACTTCCTGCCTGAAAAAATCTGATTCATCGAAAGCCCAATATCAAAAACCCCTGATTGGCTGCATCTTTGGTATGAAAAAGTCCTATTGGATGAAAGCCCAATATCGAAAACCCCTGATTGGCTGGATTTTTGGCATGGAAAAAACCTATTCGCTGAAAATCCAATATCGAAAACCCCTGATTGGCTGGGTTTTTGGCATGAAAAAATCCTATTGGCTGAAAGCCCGATATCGAAAACCCCTGATTGGCTGGATCTTTGATATGAAAAAATCCTATTGGATGAAAGCCCAATATCGAAAACCCCTGATTGGCTGAATTTTTGGGATGAAAAAAACCTATTCGCTGAAAATCCAATATCGAAAAACCCTGATTGGCTGGGTTTTTGGCATGAAAAAATCCTATTGGCTGAAAGCCCGATATCGAAAATCCCTGGTTGGCTGGATCTTTGATATGAAAAAATCCTATTGGATGAAAGCCCAATATCGAAAACCCCTGATTGGCTGAATTTTTGGGATGAAAAAGTCCTATTCGCTGAAAGTTTAATATCGAAAACCCCTGATTGACTGGATCTTTGGTATGAAAAAATCCTATTGGCTGAAAGCCCGATATCGAAAATCCTGATTGGCTGGATTTTCGGCATAAAGAGTCTGATTGTTGAAACGCCACATATCGAATATTTCCTCAAAGCAGATGTTTTTTTGACCCTGATGTTCTTTTGACCCCGATGCAGACACACAGACACACAATCTATTTTTTTTCATATGACCCTCCCTACAGTCGAGTGAATAAATATGAAAATGGTGAATGTATAGACGAAAAACTATCGTGATTTAGCCGAAGTAACTTCAACATAAACTAGGCATAAAAATGATCTACAACTCTGATAATATCGGTTTCTAATGGGCTCTTAAGAGTTTAATCCTGCATGAACGTAAAATAAGTCGTACGTCAATACCTTGCCTGTTTTTCAAACAGACAGATCAAAGAACGAACCATTGCTAAATGTTCATCACAAAAGAAAAAAATTAAGCTCAAAAGGTAAATTTCAGCAGAATAATGTATCAAATATTCAGATGTTGCATACAGTAACTGGATGTAAGAACAGTATGCTGATCATCGTCATGTATACATTTCGAAAAGTTGTTCGTCACCAAATTCACCTGATTTATATGCATTGGATTACAGTGTACCGGATGAAGTGGCAGTAGCCATGAATTAGGATCACGCAACAACAAAGATAACATTGATAGACGAGACCAAATATTCAGTCAAAAAAAAGGGAAGAAATCAAAAACTATTTTTTGGAAGAATATCTCATACGTAGGACTTATGTCTCCATACTCTTCAATAATTACCCGTTAAAAGTAACTCATTTAACTTCATGAAAACTAGTAGTAAAAGAATTCTTCAATGAGTCGAAAAAAATGTTTCCACTATGGACTCTGAACCTTTTTGTTACATATGATGCTCAAATCGTCGTAAACTACAGCGAGATCTCAACAACATGGTTCCTATGTGATCAGAAAATAAGATCTGAAAATATTTGTGAAATAGAAGATGTCATTCATGAACTTAAACGTAAAAAAACCTACCGGATGGTATAACAGCTGGAACTTTATAATTGAAGAACCACTTTCAATTTTCGTTCAGTGCCTGTGCAAATGCTTCAACGAATGCTTGAATAATAGTCAATTTATCGAAGATCGAAGAATCACTAAAATTATCAACTGAAACAAAATGAGAGGACAAGTGTCAAAGTACGAAACAAACTCAAACCCATTTTCTTCCTAGAAATATATTCTAGATTCTACGAGAAAGTCTTGTTGGAAAAAGTGAAAAAGCGGCTAAAATCTAATAGCATATTGCCTCTTAAACAAGTGAGTTTTCGTAAACGGAGTCTACTATCTCGGTAGTTCCAGAAACAGCATTTCGTCGCTTAAAACAATTTATATTGTCTAGAACTACTATTTATTGGTAGTAAAACATAGTTTCGAAGTAGAAAATAGCAAGGACTAAGATATCTTATTCATCTCTGACCTATAAGGCGAATAAAACAGAAGCATCAGTGATATATGTTGACGTGCTTCTCATTCATAGATCAATATAAAGTAAAGAAGGGCACCCACAAGACTGACGAAAACTGATTTTTTTGCGATGTCTTTAGTTTGTCTCTGCTATTCGTCTTTCTTTTTTTTTCATGTCATACTTCAAATGTTCTGCTACTTCATTTGTTTCATCTCTCGTTCTCTCTGGTTATCTTTCTCTGACTTTCTCTTTTTCTTCGTTCCTTGTCTATTGTTATTTCCTTTTTGTACTTGTTTTTTACCTGTTCTCTTCTTCTTGTCATCTCGCTGCTTTTCTCTTATTAATACTTACACTTATCATATTCATGCGTCATCAGATACTCTATCCGAACAAATATTCTATTACATTTATTTATAAGATGTAAAACAAATCTCGGACAGCTCTCATATTTCTCATTAATATATCGGTTTCATATACATCAATCCGATGAAATATCTACCTGATAATTTTATTTATAGTGTCACATGGTTCATATACACAGCTAGTCCATCTCATTACAAGAACGGACATCTGAAGCGTATGTAGACAATCATCAAGTGCAAATAAATGACTGGGTTAAGCAACAAGAAAATTTTCATTTAATGATTAGAAAGATGTTAGCTTGTCTTTAGCTTTATCAGTGTTCGATCTAGCTATGGTAACAGATTTTTGTCTACCTTACGAACGATACTGACCACTTCTCAAAGTGGAAAACAAGCTGCAAATTTGCGGTGAGATATTTTATTCAATAGCTTACCCAAATTTCAGGCCTTTCAGTGACTTTGGGTAGCCTTTATGTAATATAAACATCATCAAATGTTCAAAGATCAACCTATGATGCAGCAATGCGCAATTTCGGAACGATTGATTTGTATTGAGCGTGCTATCACTATTGGTATGTCCACCATGCTCGCTCTAATTTTTTTGCGCGTTTCATAAACCCTTTATATCGGGGTCGCGACGTGAAGCGTCGTCCGAAAAAATGCGAGTCATGCTCATCTATTGGTAACACATAGCTAGTCACTCCCTCATATCGGTATCTGTAGTTGCCGACCATACTACG